TTTTTCTTAAATCATGAGACTTCTGTCCCCCGAGGTCACGTCACAGTGCCCCCCACAGCGGGAAGGCGTCTTGCCCCACCTCCCAGGGCCGCCTGCACCTCTACCTGCCTCTGCAAGTGGGACGTTCTTTACAAGTTTTCTTATTTGTTCATTAACTATTAGGGACTTTCATAGGTGAGCTCTGAGCTCAGACCGGGGGAGTCAGGAGCACCCCCTTGCTGTCCAGCCCGAGTCTCAGCGCTGACTGGGTCTGGACCCCTGTGTTCATGATCATCTAACCCCCAACTCTTCCCACGATTCCTGCGTCACATTTTCCACTGCTCCCCTTCCGCACCTGGTCCTGCCTCCTGGGAGAGCGCGCTGTCCTCGGTCCCTAGCTTGCTGAGCCTTGGTGGGTCCACCGCTGGACCAGGGGCCACTGGGCTGCTTGGCTCCCTCGTCYCCTGCACCTCCTGGTCCCACCACTGTTTGTGCACGAGCCGCTGCTGTGCCAGGCTACAGCTGACGGGGGCTCACGAACACTCATTCCTCACTGTGACAGCCCTAGGTGGGTTGGTTCTATTATTATCTCTGTCTTAAAGATGAGGACACTGCAGTTCAGAGAGGTCGAGTGACTTCTCCGAGACCTCTCAGGTCGTGAGCAGCAGGGCCAGAGTTCTCCCCCACGTCTTTCCCTGCAGGACCAGAGTCCTGCCCTGGGCTCGGCTGCCCGTGCATGGCCGTCCTCCACGGCTGTAGCGGAGGCTGGCCCAGGTGCGTGTCTAGGCACAGTCAGGCCATTTTTGCTGTTTCGCTCTGCTGTGCCTGACTGGAACTTGGGACGTGCGTGTGGTGACCTGGAGTTCTGTGACTCTCCCGCACAGCCCCAGGACTCTGGCTCGTGACACCCCTGAGCCGTGTTTGGGGCACAGTAGGCAGTGAGCAGAGGAACAGGTGGCGTGCAGCCGCTCGCTCTCCCTGCCTTGCTCTGCCAGGGCTGCGCACACGGCAGGCCACTACGCTGCCCCCAAGGCCGCTCGCAGGTCAGCGCTCCCCGTGCCGCGGAGCTCCCGCGTCTTAAGTTGGCTTTCGCTGTGTRAACAGCCAGGTTGCTCAGCGCATCTGATAACGGTTCTTCCTATACCCTGAAACGTGGGTACCGGGAGAGGGGTCGGCTCTGTTCTAGAACCAGGCAGAGGTCACCACTTTGAGAGCCAGTGTGAAAGCGACGTTCAGACCACCAGGGTCAGGGTCACCAAGGATGCGCCCCAGTGGACGCTCCCCCAGGAGCCGCACCGTGAGGTGGAAGGGAATGAGATCTCCCKTGTGTGAAGGTCTGGCTGGGGGGCCGGAGAGGCCCCGGGGACATCTGGCTGTGCACGTGTGTGAGTGTGTGTGCACCTGTACCTCACATTGTATGTCACGTGTATGGTTGGGACGCGTGCATACCTGGGGCATGCCTTTGCACTTGTGTGAGTCCATGCCGTGTGCAGGCGTGTTCACGTGTGTGTGGGATTGGATGTGGGGGAGGGGGCAGCCTGCACGCGGCCCACGAGACTGAGCCCTGAGGCCTGCGGGGGGTGGCAGGCCCGCCAGGCGGTGCGTGTGGCTGGTCTTCCCCAGCGAGGCCGTCTGGGGTGTGTGGGCCTCCGTGGAGGAGAGGACGTGGCATTGGGCTGCCGAGCCTGCGCTGCCTGCTGGGGCCCGCACCGCGACTCACAGTCACCGCGGGACCGACTGACGGAAGGAGGTGACTGTGGGTTTCACAGCTGGCCTAGTGCCACAGAGAGACCCTGCCGTGTTGGCTCGATGTCCCCGAGGCCATGAGTTAAAGGCTCCATCTCCAGCCCCTGGGGCTTTGGGGAGGGGGTGGACCTGTAGGAGCTGGGCCTTGGGGGCAGGAAAGGGTCCTGGGGCTGTCCTTGGAGGGGAGTGGGCTCTCTCCTTTCCCTTGGTCCTGGGCTGCCCTCAGGTGAGGCTCCCTGGGCCACATGCTCCCACTGTGCCGCGCCACCTCCCCAGGCCCAGAGCAGGACAACTGCCTGAACTGGCCCCTCCAAACTGTGACCCAGAGAACCTTCCCTGTTTACAGAAGATCATCTCCGGCATGTGGTCACAGTGGCAGGGACATGGCCTCTAGTAAGAACTGAATCTGAAATCTCAAGTCACTTTATGGCCACTCACTGGCTGTGATTCGGGGTTGGTCTGCTTTCCATCCAAGGCCGAGGGCACAAAGTTTAGGGGTCGTGTGACACTCAAGGGAAATGTGACGTGGTGTGTGAGAAAACTGTCCCAGCAGCAAAGCTGTGTAGCGTGTAAATCATTCTCGGGTTTGTCTCCAGGGCTGCACGTCTTACAGACGTGAAAATGGTGCACGGGAGCCACGGGGCCTGGGGCCACGGGGCCTGGGGCCACGGGGCTGTGCTTCTTCATGAAGTGGGCTGGTGGGGTCCCGCGGGCCACCCAGCGGCAGCAGCTGCCGGTGCCTGTGCAGGTCCCACTGGCCAGGGGACGGAGGGTTTGTTGACCTCGAGAGACACACTCCTTGTTCCTGAGGCCTGGTGAGCTTGGTAAGATGGGCATCCCTTCTGGTTCCCTTGCAAACATCAGGAGACAGACCTGGTCTATCACCTGCTCAGCCCTGGACCGAATCCYAGTCGAGGAGCCGACCCCAACGTTCCAAGGCTCAGCCTACCACGCAGTCTGAGAGGGGAAGTGCGCGGGACCAAAGCGGCAGGCTTGGGAGGGACAGGGGCCAGCGGCTCTGCTCTGTCCAGCTAGGGCAGAAGGCCCCTGGAGACCCGTGTGTATGGTGGGGAGGGCGGGAGAGGAGTCCTCACGTGGCTGAGAGGTGGCTCCCCACAGGGGCCCTTTAGGAACCACCAGGACTGCGGAGGAGGCTGACACTGACCCTTTCTAGAAACCATCATAGACAGCGGTGGACAGAAGGAGGAGACTGTCTCTGGCTCTTGGAGGAGGTGGTGGACAGAAGCCAGGCAGCCTGCCCAGGGCAACGGCTGACCGTTCAGAAGGTGGTCTGAAGAGTCTCCTGGTGAACTCTACAGCTCAAGCTGGAGTGTCCGGAGCAGGGCCAGGCACCTGGGCACCACACACTCACCTCCGAGTCCCCACTTGCTCCGCTACTCTGGGCCCTGGCCTGCAGATCTGGTGACATGTCCTGGAGGGCGGGAGGGCCAGGTGTACTTGCCCTCCCCCTAGGCTCCCTCTGCCCGTCCTCTGCAGCCTGCCATCTTGGCTAGGGACATTCCTAACACATGGCCACCACGTGGGGGAACTTCCTACAGGTGGCTCCAGGCTTCCTGTGGGTAGTTATCTCTCACTTCTCGGGAGCTCTGACTTCGCTGGACTGTCATGCTATTGGTGGAGAGGACGGTGGGGGACAAGGACAGGAGAGTGAAGCCCCCAAGGAGAGGGCACAAGGCCCTGGGCAGCCACCCATGGCAAGGGCAGAGTGGTCACGGCCTGCTTGGAGACTTCCCACTAGGACCTGAGGGTCCCCTGTAGCCTGGGATCTCCCTGCTGGAGAGCCAGCACTGTGACCCGTCCCCATGGATCTGCACAGGGCTGCGTCCTCGCTGCTGCCTTTGAGGACAGCGGGAGGAAGGACAGCAGCCCTGGGAAGGAGGTTCTTCTGCCCACTCCGTCCTCCCTCCCCCAGGCCTCCCCTCCTTCCTCGCTGAACTTTCCTTCTACGCCTCCTGCACCACTGGGCTCTCTGTGGCCCACGATGACGGAGCTGACCGACAGAGCCTAGAGACTCAGCCCCCGAGGGACGCAGACTAGCACTGTCCACCAAGGGCGCAGCGTCCCTGCGGTACTTTCCACACACACCAGGATACAGCCCTGCATATTAGGGGACGCCACGTACCCACTCTCTGAATCAGGAGCCCGAGGCTCAGAGGGGTGGGGACTTTCCCAAGGGCAGCCAACCAGTGAGAGCAAGTTGACCAGAGCTCCGCTGCTCGGGCTCCTGCCCAGAGCTGGCCCACTGAGCCTCAGCCCCCAAGTCCGGCCCTCGCCCGCGAGCGCTCACCTGGGTGGTCYAGGTGGGACACGATGAGGTAGATGGCGAAGTCCAGGAAGGAGCAGTTGCACTTCCAGGGGTTCCCGCTCAGGTGCAGGGTCTGCAGCACTGCCAGGTGGTGGAAGGCCTCGTAGTCCAGGGTCTGCAGGCCGGTGTTCCTGAGGTCCAGGTGCCTCAGGGAGCTGGTGTTGGCGAAGGTGTACTTGTGGAGGGACAGCAGACGGGGGTTGTTGGCGATGCTCAGCTGCACCAGGTTGCTGAGCACGGAGAAGCTGAACGGGGAGATGGAGGTCAGGTTGTTGGAGCTGAGGTCAAGGTAGATGAGCTTGAAGACCCCGATGAAGGTGTAGTCCATCACCTCCCGGATCCGGTTGTTCTGGCAGTCCAAGTAGACCAGGTCGCTGAGGAGGCCCAGGGGCATGGCTGGCAGGTCGGCGAGCTTGTTGTTGTTCAAGTACAGCCTCCGGGTGTCCAGGGGGACGTTGCGGGGGTATTCTGTTAACTGCCTGCCCGTGCAGATCACTTCCTGGGCTTGACACTGACAGTTACTTGGACACTTTGACCCCGATACCAGCCCCATTCCGAAGGAAAAGAGCAACCACCTGGGGCCCGCGCCCGAAGCCAGGGACATAGTAAGAAGCCAGGACTGCCCTCGTTCCACTTCCTGGGCTCCCTGCGTCCTCTGATCTGAAGGCTGCCCCGGGCAGGTGGGGGAGGGATGCTGGAAAGAACTGTAACACTCTAGCTTTGTGCAGAGCAATTTTCCATTACAGGAGAGCTGAGCAGAAGTTGAAATGCGAGGCCTGGTGCCCTGCCGCCCAGCGCGGCGGCTCTCGGCCCCAGCCTGCTGCTGGAAGCTGGCCCACTTGGCGGCTCTGAAAGGTCTCACCCTTTCCCTGCGTTTGCAAGTGAAGGGGAGCCAGGGGAGAGCCACATGACAGTGAGGTTGCCAGTTGACACCTTTGTGATGTCAGCAGCCCGGGGGACTGCCCGGCTGAGGGAGAGGCACACCTCCTCTGGGCGCTGTGGGTCTGTGTGTGTCCGGTAAGCTGCTGGCCTGGGGGAGTGGGGCTCGGTGGCTTCTGCAGCATGCGGGGCGGGGACACGAGGGGTTCAGTGTGTGTGTGTGTGTGTGTGAAGGTCAGCGTGTGCTGCGTCCCTGCCAGCTCCTCACACAGGGACAGGGAGGGTCCACCCAGGCTGGACCCCAACTTGTAGGCATGGGGACTGGGGGACCTCCCCCCAGCCGGCCAGTGACGACATGACGGTCAGCTCGGAGTCCGTCTTTCCTTGGGCTTGGAACTGGGAGGGGTGCAATTTGTCAGGAGAAGATGACAAAGGGGTGCCCCTTTGTGACCAGCCGGGGCACCCTCTGATCCAACGACCTTGAGTGAGTCCTGGCTTGCGCTCTCGCCTGTCTGCAGGGGAACCTCTGAATCTAGTGTTCTCCATAACTTCCCATCACCTACAACCTACTTTCCTTAAACAAACCCGATGTGCCAAACACCCTGAGTGTTCCTTACACCTGTTCCCTGCAGGACTGGGAGATCCCGAGTGCCTCCCGGTACGAGTTCCCACTCACCACTCCCCGGAGGATGACGGGAGCTTGGAGGCAGGGTCCGAGCCTGCGGCCTCAGCACAGGATGCGCACCTGTGGGAGAGGTCACCCAGAAGAGACCAAGACGGAGCGTCTCAGGAGTGAGAATTGTATTTCTGGGGAAATGGGATTTTATTCCTTAAAAYGTTCACATGTAACTTGGCGGTAAGTATTAACGACCGTGGAGTCCGTGTTTGGCGTCGCAGGGTGCGTGGCCCTGGCCCGGGGTGCTCAGCTGTCCAAGGAGAGAGGTGCCCGTCTTGGTGGTTTGCTTCCCTGTTGGCTTCTCTGCCAAGAGGGAGGTGCTGGTGGGTGGTGCTGACGGAGCGGCTCAGTCAGCACTCCTGGGCGACGGCCGTGACCCAGGGACGACTAGGAGTGTTTCCCTAATGGAAAGTGACCTTGTTTCAGCAGCAATCCCACTCACTCACTCTAATGACCCCAGTGACAGCTGTACAGGTGGCACCATGACTTAACTGAGAGGGAGCCACCCTTTCCACATAATTAAAAAAACCTATTAAAAAAATAAGACCCGCCTGKATCTTATAAGATGCCTCCTGGATTGCCCAGGAGGGGAATTTACACGTCCTCTGCAGAATAGAATGGGTTCTCCCCTGGGAGCCGGAGGGTGAGGGGGGGTCAGCGTGGTGGAGGCGGCTGGGTGGGCCGGTGTGGCAGGGCCCTGCTGGGAGGGGTGCGTCGTCCTCTCCCTCTGCAGGACAGATGGTGGCCGCCTGACTGGGGCTCCTGGAGGGCTCTCTCCCTGCTTCTCTCCTGCACAGAGCCTGCACCTGCGGCCTGCGTCCATCCATTTCCAGCCTTCTTGTCCAGGCTGATGTTTTAAGACGCGGCCGTGCCTCACCCCGGAGTGCTAGCAAAGCGTTGTGGAYGGCCAGCCTCGAGCAACGCTCCTGCGGCTCGAGGTAGCGGGGCAGCGATGGTCCTGAAGCCTGAGCACTGTGGGGCTCACTTCCACTTTGCCAGGCTGGACCAGATCCCTGAAATGGGTCCCTCCGTCAGACTGAACAAATAYCTGTTAAATGAAGAATGAATAGACAGAAGAAGGAGGATGGGAGTGTGCCATTCCCCAAATTCCCTGATCTCAGAAATTAAACAAACAAACAAACAAACACTTTTTACCCCTAGAGAACAACTTGCATGATTATTTTTTTCAGAAATCTTGCTCTGGGAGGGTCTGGATCAGGCTGTTTGCCCTTGGTTGAGTTGCTTAACTTCTCTGGGCTTTATTTTATCATCTACCTGTCTTCCCTGGGACTTGCCCCTGTCCTGCCCACACTCCCTCAGAGTGCCCAGTGTCCAGGCAGGGTCAAAGTCTGGGTGAGGAGGGCCAGATGACTTGGGAGTCTCCTTAGGATTTTCAGTCCCCTTGTGGCAAGGGCTCAGGCATCACCCAGAAAACCAGCGGAGGGGGGAGTATCGGGGGCCAAGAGAAGAGCCAGCCTGCTCCTTACCACACCAGCTCACCCCACTTATCAGGGGGCTGCAACAGCAGGTCCTGCTATTCCCAGGGAGTTAGCCAGTGGCCCCCTGTCCCCAGCTGGCCCACGGCCCTCCCAGGACAGGTGGGGTATCAGGTGAGCCCCAGGCTCCTCCGGGTGCAGCTCAGCTGGGGGGTGGGGGCAGCTGTGTCTGTGGCGTCCCCACCTGGGGGTGGGAAGGTGCCAGCAGCTTCCACACAGGTGACCTGAGGGGCAGGAAAGGGCAGGAGGCAGCAGTGCAGAGACACAGGGCTTGACTTCCTGTCTGTAGAGAAGACAGACGCTCAGGCCCTCCCAGCTAAAGACTGCATCCAGATGTGGCCAAGTGTCAGGACCCCAGCCACAGGGCAGAGTCGAGGGCTGCCAGGTCTGTGCCTGTGAGCGGGCCCCTCAGGTGTCTGGCACAGGGCCAAGGGGAATTTGATCTTGGCACACTTTTATGGCTCAGGAGGAAAATAGTAGGATACTTGCCGGACCCGAGGATTTATGAAAACTGCAGTGTGCTCAACTCAGGACTTCCACGGGCTTAGCAACCCGGGCCAGGAGTCCGCATTCTCGGCTTCCCACACAGGGAAATAGGATTCCTGTCTAAGGAAGGTCAAAGCTCAAGGGCTTTTGTGCAGAAGCTGCCCATAGGGTCCACTCACCCAGACTTTGACCCTGCCTGGACAGGGCACTCTGAGGGAGTGTGGGCGGGGCAGGGGCAACTCCCAGGGCCGACGGGTGGAGACGAACAGGAGGCCAGCTGGGGGAACGTGTGTGTGTGTGTGTGTGT